CAACAACCAGAGCAGCTGCTTTCATTACAAAAGAATCCTTTTTTGCCATGTGCTCTGTTGCAACAAATTCTGAGCAGCCACAAAGTTTTTTTAGACATGTTTATCTACAGCTAGCAGTGTTACCGATTCATCCATGAAGCTATTTTGGTGTTCTGTGGTATAGCCAACTTTTAACACTTGTTTTAAACCAGAGCATGGCAGTGATAAAAATTCATAACACCATGCAAGGTTTTGCTAGATTATTTGGTGCTGTGGGGTCAGAAAATGAAAAGCCTGGCCACCATAAAAGAAGGTGTGTTAATTTGGGTTTTCTGCTGCTTTTATTCAACCTGTGCAGTGTGTGATGGTACTATCACATGCTCGCTAGGCCAAGTGAAAAGCAAGTGGTTCGTACTGGTACTGTTCACCGATCTGCAGGGTTTGCTTCGAGTGGCACAGCACCAGTAGGAACCACTGGTTCTGTGGTTCGTACTGATGCTGTGCCACTCGAGGCAACCCCTGCAGATCGGTGAACAGCCACAGCAGCTAAACAGGTGCGACCGCATTGTGCACACTAGTAGACCTTCTACGAGCAATCGGAGAGCACCCTGAAGGTGTGCGAAGCACTATGGGAAAGTGTGTACGTAGAGGGAGCCAGCTGTTTGGTTTCCCGTTACTGGTTTGTGCGTTGGGAGAACGAAACGAAAAGATGCATCACCACTTGTTGACTGTTATTAAACCGCAAGTGGACACAAGTGCAAACACACTTTCATGTGCGCATGAAATGTAAAAGGAATAAGGCAGTCAGTATACCGAGTGGATGTATATCGGACATAGCAGTGAAGTGACGTGAGAGTTATTGCATGCGGATGCATGTTAAAATCATTCAATTTTATTCAACTTCTGAGGGATGTTTGGTGCACAGACAAAAAAAAAAAGCCTGAAAAGGCTTGACTAGATCTGTGCACCAGACTAGGGCATACATTGGTGTGAATTACAACAACAGTAGAAGTAGAAAGCAATACATAGTGAAAGAAAAATATAAAGGGAAAAGCACAGAGGAGGTATGCATAGACATCAGTAAAGGAAAAACCATATATACACATCAGAACTACAAAAACTTTTCTGTATTACAATCCTTAGTAATTGACATATACACGTTAGAACTACAAGAAATTTGCTAAATTGTAATTCTTAGTAATCGACATATCAAAACTATTAGAAATTTGCTAAATATAAAATGGAAGTAGCAAGCATATGTAGTACATTGAACAAAAAGGACAATGACCGTTGCATAATTGACTCGGAGCCATTGAAGCTACATTCGTACCATCCGTGGCAAGTTCATTCAGTAGTGTAGATAATGTGCACCTGAGCATTTGCTTTTTATAAGTCATATGGCGTTTTCGAACTTTCCATATCTGAGGAAGGCGTGTGTGTTATGCAGGTTCATTTTTTATCAATTTTGCCAATGCCTTTAGAAGTAAAATTTTCTTTTTTGTTTCCAACTTGCGTTGCCAAAATACTCTGAAATTGTATATGTTTTGTAAACTTATAATTTCGATGCTATAGTTTTAAAGAGGTCATTTCATAGAATTGTCAGTGTCGGCATCGTTGACTGTAAGCAAAAAATCATCATTCTTGCTTGACTGAAAAGCTGGGAAAGCTGCAAATAAAAAGAAAAAATCCTGTGTGCCAGTGAGGATCGAACCTGGGTCGTTTGTGTAGCAAGTGGGTGTTCTACCACACAGCCATGCCTCTGCTTGAGAATGTAGTGAAAATAACTTCCTCTGCTTGGAAATGCAGTGAAGGTTTCATGCTTTACAAACACGTGTTCTGTATGCATGATTCACAATACAATATGAAATATTGCCGTAATAACGTGTGGTACACGCGTACATTGCCATGAGGCATTTGAACATGGGATTATCTTAACGACTTCATAGTTTAAAGCCAGTCACTAACTACAAGACACACACACACACTACTGCACGATCAAGGCCACGTAGTAGATGCATAGCAAGTTTAAAAAGATTTCATGCACTAAGTCTTTGAAGTATGCACTAGGAACAAAATATCGCTATCGCGCTGATTTCTTGAAGGTAAACCTTAAGGGTCCCCCAGTTTTTAAGCTTTTCGAACATGTCCTGCGTGTGACTTAGGTAAGAAGCGTTAGAAACTATGTGCATTGCACGCTTTTGAAATAAGTCTTGCATTGTCGTCCCCAGACCAGTGCACCATAGGTTGTGAGAATACCATGTTGTCAAAACATGCCATACTGAGCAATGCGAGCTAGAACCCTAAATTTATGTTTATTCATTGGTTACTTGTCATAGAGCTGTTAACGCCAAGCTGCAGTGTTCAGCTACGCATACTGATGATTATTCTATTTCCGTTGATATGTCGGATGCTGTGCAAGAAGGGAACTCATTGTGAATGTGTTTGATAAAGAGACAGGATAGGATTCGCTTGCGATTTATCTTGCTCTGCTAATTTGCTCTTTCTTGGTACGTGCTTACCACTGCAGAGCATGTTTCCTGGCTGTGTACTTATGCAATCTGCATTCAGTGAAACCAGGCTTCAATTTTATCATGGGGCATTTGAATGAGATCAAACTTGTAATGTATGCATGGCATTGGAATAAAGGCTTGCACATATAAGCTGAACAGTATAAACCGCCAAGTGATCGTCCAAGGATATCCTGCACACCATTGCATCGGTTTTTGAAAATCTCATTTGTACTGGAAGAGAAGATACAGTCATCTTCCACTCATGAATAATGAAAAAAAAAAGAAAACTGAGAATATTGCAGGTATATTATATATGCATAGGAAGTCGCATGGTCATACCTACAAGTTTTTTCAGTGTCCAAACATAGGCAAAAAAAAAAGTAGACAGAATACTCTGGCCTTTTTTCCTGTGTTCACATGCTGAAAAAAGCTTGTCAGTATGAACGCACACCAACTAACGAAAGCTTTCATTCTTGTAAGTCGCATGGCCGAAAAACATGAAGTAAACCAATATGGGGTGAGGGCTGTGTTTTCTGCATAAAACAAGCTCAATCACATTTGTTTCATAGTGCACGAGAGGTTGTATGGTGTGCAGTGGGCAAATAAAAATGTGGTCAGAGACATGTCATCTGTTTTGTTAGTTGTTGTGCAAGAGTTGCTTACTGAAGTCTTCCTTATTGTGTTCACATGTTCACCAATAAGACTGGTCGATGTGTTAATACTTGTCTCGGAGACCATCGGAATTAAGCAAATGGAGCCTTCTCATTTGACCTTGCATTGTCGGCCATGGAAATGTAATCACACTTTTGAAAGCACAGCAATTCGTGCCATCACCTTATTAGACTTTTTGAAAAATCTTGGGGGCATATCGTATGATAAGAAACGCCGCACTTTGTGGAAGTCTCATTGTAAGTTTGGAATTCAAGTTTATTAATCTACTGTAAACATGCCCCTTGGTTGTTTGTATTTTTGTACATCTTTGTGACACGCATGACTCCCCACCCCCCCATGTTTGCACATAGGTTTTTTCACACATGCAATAAACTTTCTCTTGTGAGAGAGGGCTCATGGTGTATATTTTATTCGAACCTGTGGGTGCTTATTGAATGTTACCTATAATGTGAGTGACACGTATATTGTCCATTGATTGTATGTTACTTTAGTAAATATAGACTATACTTCCAAGTGTACTCTTATGTTTTCAGAAGCTCATAATTTACTCCTCGTACTCCTCAGCAGTGTTGATGGATGTTTATTTCAAATGCATCAGCGCATTATAGACCACTTCTGTATTTTTATGTCATTTATGCCGTTAGGTGTACTGGTGCAGAAAAAAAAATAATAAGTGGAACTTCTGGGTCATTCTTCCGGTAGGACAAATAAAATCGTTGAGATGCCATTGCTGCTAAACACTGAAGTTCCAGATTGGATTGAGCAGTAATATACTGCACATTACCAAATTCCAATTACCTGAGAAATGGTGGCACGACACAAGCAGACACTTGTCGCTTCACAGCAGTGTGGACTTTTTCTGAATAGTCTCTTCTAAGGCATTGTGGCCCTATGCTGCATTCAAACCACTTTTCCATATTGGTTGTATGAAGTGAAGTCGACTGATACATTTCAAATGAGCTCTTTGAAATTTAGAAAGTTTTGATTCCTATGAGGCAAGTTTGAATTTCTTAAAGGGGCCTTTGAACACTTTTTTGAGTAACCGAGGAAATAATTCACTGGAAAAGCGTATTGCCTCACAAACTCAAGGCTGCAAAAATTTTAAGAATCCGTCGAGTACAAGCGGAGTTACAAAAATTTGTCACACGCTGCAATCGCATTCTCTCTTCTCTTGTCCCGACAAAAGTGCTGGAAGCCAAGTAGGGAGGGATGGGAGGGGCAAACAAAAATCGTCATGCACGCCTTGTTGGCCTTGAACACTTTTTCTTTTTCTTTTTTCTTTGAATCCGTGGCTTTTTCAGTGCAATAGGGCGTGCCTGTGAACAAGTGACGACCTTTGGCGGTGGTCTCTTTAACGACCGAGCGCACCATGTTCAATTCAGCCAATGGCTCATAGATCGGCTTACTATGAGTGATTTTTGGGCTTATTGCGGGATTTATTGAGAGAAGAGAAAGCAACTTTTAGCTGACTTTGATAATTTATTGTGACTTCCAGGCCGCAAGCTGCACTATCATATTTGGCTCGTGGGTTGTCGGGAGCCTCTACTACCGATCGGCAGCATTTTCTGAGCATGCTCAAAAAGTGTTGCAGGGCCCCTTTAAGTGCTTGATTTTCATGCAACCTTACTAAAATGATATTTTAATGATGTATGTTGAGTCAAGATTTGCCTTCAGTGTGGTGCTGCTGATTGAGTATAACTGGACTCTTTGAGCAAGCACAAATTTGAAACATTCCTGTAATTAGGTAGACAAGATGCATTACATTATTCACTCTCAAGAAAGATTCCACCCTCCCACGCACCCACCTGAGCAGTAGTGCAACTGTGTTCATACACGCAGGTGCCCACAGCTGCACACCCTCGAGCTGCCCTGGTGCTGGGACATCACTGAGAATGGCCTGGCTGCTATCGTGGCCCACTGTCAGTGAGTGAGCCTTTGAGATCTTGGGAAGGCTTCCTGGGGGTTGTGCAAACAAGACGACATGTCAGAATACGCACACACACTAAATTTTCACTTCCCCAATGTTTTATTTATTTTTTTAAATTTTGTTTCTTTGTTAAATAATGATGTACACAAGGGAAGGACATTGTACAAGAAATCAAACTAGACATTATTAATGACAACCAAAGCAACAAACAATTTGTAAGCCTTATAGACGAGATAGCAAAAAAAAGTTATAAAATAAACACCACTGTGTTGCAGCATACCAAAATACCCCTATACTCTTAGCATAAAACTTCCTTCGCTATTCATGGCAAGAAAAACACAGCATATTCAGAGAGTGAATGATGATAAGTGGGGCGAAATGTCTGTGCATTTGCTCTTGCTTTCGTTTACCCATTCTTGCGTCTGTCCGTACATTCGTGCGTCCCTGTGTTCGTCTGTGCGTCTGTCTCTCCGTGCATCAGACAGATGACTGACTGACGCGGCCAGCAGATGGTTCACTGTTTCCCGATAAAATCTTCTGAAGCTTTGCCCCACTCATCATTCACTCCGTGGATATGCTGTGAGGTGGTTACAACACACATGCATACATGCAGGTAAAGTGAGAGAGGTTCTTGTACTGGCTGCAATGGGAAGTTGGCAAACATTAAGTCTGTGCACGTCCCTCGTACTGTGGTAGATTGCATGTGGATACATCTGAGTGCGTATTTGGAAAACGTGTGCTGCACGATACAGTCATTAACAATGAGGTCCATGCGTCTGTGCGTCTGTCCATGTATTCGTCTGTGCGTCTGTCCATCTGTATGTCGGTCGGTCTATGCACATGTCAATGTGCACATGTCAACTTGAGAAACTTTGAGTTTATATTGTTACACGACATTGGCAATGAAAGAGCATCATAGACGACGAAAACGATGAAAGCAACCGTGCTCGTGTAGTTGTTGCTGTTGTACCTCCATCTTGGCTGCAGCTGCCTCTTGACTCTCCCTGTATATTTTGTAAATATATTTATTTCATTCATTCTGTCGCACCCAAGACATTTGGTGGAGGTGCTGGGTAAACCCGTCAACCCATACTGAAGTTCGTACCGATGCCAGCGGACATGGAATTGGTGCTGTTCTCACCCAGCGGCAACGATGACAGGATCGCGTCATTGCTTACGCTAGTCGCTTCTTTTCTCCTCCGGAGAGCAAGTTTTCCATTACAGAGCGTGAGTGCCTCGCACTAGTCTGGGCAGTCAGAAAATTTTGACCATACTTGTTTGGCTGTCGTCCCTTGAAGATCCAACTGGATGACTTGGCCGTTGGGCCTTGAAACTACAAGAATACAGCTTTGACGTGGCATACAAATCTGGCCTAATGCACCGGGATGCCGACTGTCTATCCCGTCACCCCGTGGACCCACCCGACCTTTCAGCACATGATTCTGACCCTTGTGTCTTCGCCATGTCTGCTTTCATCGACATACGCAAGGAACAGCTCAGCGATGTCCACTTGCGATCTATCATGCAGAGTCTACGTTTGTCCCACGTAGACCCGTCGCTACACTTGTTCGTTCTACGGGATGGCATTCTTTACCGACGCAACACCAGCACCGAGGGACCAGAGCTACTACTCGTAGTTCCTGCGACACTCCGTTCCGCTGTACTTGAACAGCTTCACGACGCCCCAACCGCGGGACATCTCGGGGCCACGCGCACGTACGATCGCGTACGGCGTATATTCTTCTGGCCAGGCCTTTACCGTTCTGTGCGCCGGTACGTTGCTGCTTGTGAGTCCTGCCAACACACCAAACATTCCACCTTGCCACCAGCTGGTCGGCTCCAACCAATAGACATACCCACCGTTCCCTTCTACCGCGTCGGTCTTGATCTCGTTGGACCATTTTCTGCTTCTCTCACTGGAAACAAGTGGATAGCCGTAGCCACTGATTATGCCACAAGATATACTATCACATGAGCGCTACCGACAAGCTGTGCCACTGACGTCGCGGACTTCTGGCTTCATGACGTAATTATTCACCATGGCGCTCCTCGACAGCTGCTGACCGATCGTGGTCGCTCATTTCATTCAAAAGTAGTAAGTGACATTCTTTGCTCGTGTTCGACGCGTCACAAGCTCACTACGGCTAATCACCCACAAACAAATGGTCTTACCGAGCGTCTAAATCGAACCTTGACAACAATGCTCTCCATGTACGTTTTCAAAGATCACCTTGATTGGAATAGTACTTTGCCTTATGTGACATTCGCGTACAATTCGTCACGCCACGACACCGCTGGCTTCTCTCCCTTCTATTTATTGTTCGGCCACCATCCAGCGTTACCCTTCGAGACTCTTTTCCCATCAACTACGCAAACGGTTACAGAGTATGCCCGGGATGCCACTGCTCGGGCTCAAGTGGCCCGCTAAATCGCACGGGAACGTCTTCTTGGCTCGCAGCTCTCTCAGAAGGCCCGCTACGATAGCCATCACAGAGTAGTTTCCTACTCTCCAGGTTCATTGGTCCTCCTCTGGACACTATGCCGCCACATTGGCCTCTCTTCGAAGCTCCTGTCTTGCTACTCGGGGCCTTACAAGGATTTACGCCTTCTTACCGAGGTCATATACGAGATTGCTCCATTGTACAGTCAGTCGTCGTCGTCCGCACCCGTCACTGACGTCGTCCACGGGACCCACCTGAAACCATACATCTCCGCATACGATCCTACTCTCCTTTAGGCACCTAGACGGCGCTTCCAGCGGCGGGGGATTATATTTTACACGACATCGGCAACGAAAAAGCATCATAGACGACGAAAACGATGAAAGCGATCGTGCTCGTATTGTTGTTGCTGTTGTACCTTCATCTTGGCTGCAGCTGCCTTTGACTCTCCCTGTATATTTTGTAAATATATTTATTTCATTTATTCTCTCACCCCCGTGACAACATTGTCAGTGCCACATGATGAGGATGTTTTTAAGGCGTTAATTAACCTTACAATTCCAGCAGAATCAAAAGTGATAGGAAACATTTAGCAGTAGTCACAGGACACAACTGCATTGGCAGATGCAGCAGTGCTTCCTGAAAAATTTATGAAAAAAATTTTTTAACTAAAGTGGCACATCCTAAGCGGGTAGCGGTTCCTCAGATTCATTGTGGTGATAAATCTGTGTTTTCATTACAATTGGTCATGTTCCAAAATTGCTGAGGATTCTTTGACAAAATTCCTGGCAATAAATGTGTTTAGAAATTATTCCTAACAGCATGTACAGCTTCTGTGTATTCTGTATCAGCATTGTGATACGCTGCTCACCCATCATTTGTATTTTGTGACTTGGCTGTGCGAAAAAGGCACCTTTCACTATTAGACATTGTTTCAAGTGTGTGTTATACCACAGCCTTTTTGTGTTGTTTCCTATGCGTAGCAGGGTAACGGGCACATCAGTGAGATGAGTAACAAGGTTTCTGAAAAGATGCCAGTTTTCTTTTACACTTCGCTCATCAAAGTTGCTACAGTTATTTAGTTCCACGTGAAAAAGACGTGGTAATGCGGAAACGAAGCACCAAATGGTCGCTCTGACCAGGAACACCAACGATTTGGGATATGAAGTCTGGTTCTATAGTCAGATCTAAGTCTAATGAATTGGATGATTCATTAGTTATTCTTCTTGGTTGCATTACAACTTGCATGAAATTAAAACAATTACAGAAATTCAGAAAGTGGTGAGATTGTGTTGAACAGGGATCAAGCAGAAAAACTCATCTGTGCCAGTTGATGGGAAGAAAATGCAGGTCACTGAATAAAAAAAGATAGGTCACGAAGGGTACCGAGTGATAACATAGCCGAGAATGTCGTGCAACTAATCTATGAATGACGATGAATAGTTTGTAAGAGGATAACAAATGCCTAGTGTAATCTTCATTTGTTTACTTGGATTGCCAACCCCAGTAGTAAGAAATCTGCACCGATTGTGCTAACCTGTGCCAACCGGAAATTACTGCACCATAATGCTTCAAAATGGTCTTTTTTTAATTTGTGCCATTGCTGTGCCACAGGGTGGTTCTGGAACCGAAAGTAATGTTGATAGCATGCAATTAACGTGAGTGAATATTTAATGATGGTCGTTGCACGAAATTAACATGAGCGAATATTTAATGATGGTCGTTGTCTTTATACTTGAACTGTTACATTTGCGCTGTTTCAAAATCACAAAATCGGCCGATCAATTTTATTGACTTCCGCGGGGTTGCAGTGGTCCTTCTTCTGGTAACTTTTGGCCAAAAATGAAGGTGATGAGGTGACTACTAAAAAGCGCATTAGTATGACTTATCACGGACAAAAAGCCTACGTGTGTGGCATAGCGTGCAGTAAGCTCTAAGCTTACTGCACGCTTTTAATAGCTGGCTACTACCTGTGAGCGCTGAGGCGCCGATCGCTGCCGCCTCAATCATTGTGCTAGACTGAGTTCAGCGTGCATCGCTTTGCAAAAACGAAAGCAGTTCACTGTTGCGGAGTTGAGCGTTTTCGATCGCGGGAACTGAGACCGCAAGCATAGCATGAGAGGCGACAGCTCGAACGCCCCTCTGTCCGCTGCCAAACTGCTAGAGCATCACTTGCAGAAATCTGGCATCGTCGTGTTGGCCCCGCCGTGGTGGTCTAGTGGCTAAAATACTCGGCTGCTGACCCGCAGGTCGCGGGTTCAAATCCCGGCTGCGGCGGCTGCATTTTCGATGGAGGCGGAAATGTTGTAGGCCCGTGTGCTCAGATTTGGGTGCACGTTAAAGAACCCCAGGTGGTCGAAATTTCCGGAGCCCTCCACTACGGCGTCTCTCATAATCATATAGTGGTTTTGGGACATTAAACCCCACATATCAATCAATGGCATCGTCGTGTTAACGCAGCAGGCTTCTCGCCGCATCGGTGCACAGTAGGAAGCAAGCAGCTCGGCACAGTGTGTACGCCAAGTAAGCAAAGCACTGCGCTCAACTATCTAGTA